AAAAAAAAACAAAAAAAAAACAAAGAAAAAAAAAGGAATAGAAAAAGGTAAATAGATGATCGATGAAACGACGTTGTCTATTATTAATAGGAACCATGAACGAAGAGATCATTTGAGTATTAAAAATTGTTAATCACAATCGTATTACACATTTATAACACTCTATCCACGTGTCTTATTCACAAATAAATAATTAAAGAAAAAGAAAAAAGAAAAAAGAAAGGAAGAAAAATTGAAAGAAAATAAATATACTTATCGCGGAAACGAAATATAAAAAGAAAAACAAAAAAAAAAAAGAAGAAATCTCTTCGATCGTTCATAGATTAAAAAAAATATGCCTGATTTCGAAAAAAATAAAATACACATTTAACACTCTATTCACGTGTCCTTATTAACAAATAAATAAATAAAAAAAAAAAAAAAAAAAGGAAATAAAAATAAAAATAGAAAAGATGATGTGCATTATAACTCTCAATAATAATACAAAACAAAAATACAAAATATGAATAATCGCACTTGTTCACTCGAAAAAGGAATAACCTTTTCTATCGTATTAAATCGTCAAAAAATAAAAAAAAAATAGAAAAAAGTAAATAGATGATCGAAGAAACGACGTTGTCTATTATCAATAGGAGCCATGAACGAAGAGATCATTAGACTATTAAATCTTGTAGAATATTTCCTTGGTAACACCAACAGTAGTAGTAGTAGTAATAGTAATAGTAGTGTAGTAGTAGTAGTAGTAGTATAGCAACCATTCGGACGAACGAAGTAGTATAACAAATGATAAAGAACAATCGATGCAAATGTTTGTTTTCTTGACAATATGATGACGATGATGATGATAATAATGATGATGGTTGTGATGGTGGTTGTGATGGTGGTAATCTTACCAAGGAAGAGGGAGACGTCGTACATACGCGTGCTCGTCGAGGAAGAAACAACGACATCGTCGAAGAGGAGGCTTCCTTGGCCTTCCCTTCTGTCGAATGACGTTCCACGTTCTTCCAAACAATCGTCTTCTCTAGCTCGCGTGATTGCAACGATGATTATGACAAACCCGTGATTACAACAATCGATATTTACACATATATATAAATATTTATATTATTTTTCTTCACAACATGTGTATGTTACATATCAAAATAAAAAAAGAAACAAAATATATATATACAACACAACGAACAAATGAACAAAATATATTATACACAAAATTGAGAAAAAAAAGGGATATGATAAAATAATTATTAATAAGTTATTGAAATTGATAGTAATTAAATTAATTAGTTATGACGTTATTGGTGAACACACGAGATATTATTAAAAATAAATAGTTTCGAAATTGATAATAAGTAGTAATAGTATTAATTAATTTATGACGTTATTGATGAACACACAAGATATTATTAAAAATAAATAGTATTAAAATTGACAGTAATCAAATTAATTAGTTATGACGTTATTGGTGAACACACGAGATATTATTAAAAATAAATAGTATTAAAATTGACAGTAATTAAATTAATTCATTTATGACGTTATTGGTGAACACACGAGATATTATTAAAAATAAATAGTATTGAAATTGATAATAATTAAATTAATTAGTTATGACGTTATTGGTGAACACACGAGATATTATTATAAATAAATAGTATTAAAAAATTGATAATAATTAAATTAATTAGTTATGACGTTATTGGTGAACACACGAGATATTATTAAAAATAAAATATTATTGAAATTAATAATAAATAGTAATAATATTAATTAATTTATGACGTTATCGATGAACACACGAGATATTATTATTCCCTTTTGGTACCTGGCGAACAAACTCAGCACGCAAGCACTCGCGTCTTTGAGAGGCGCCCGTTAGGTACTGTGAGAAACACCTTCCTCCTCCACTGGTGGTGGTGCAGTTGGTGGTAGTGGTGGTAGTGGTAGTAGTGGTAATGGTGGTGGTGGTGATGGTGGTGGTGGTGGTGTTGATAATGGAAGCGCCTACACACGAGTGGTGGTGCTAAACCAATTGCTATTGCTATCGACTAAGCAACGATGATAATTATTACTATATTATGACTATAATTTTAAGATATTATAGTAATCAGACTAAAGTATAATAATTGCAACAATTGAAAGAAGATAAGAGAGAGAGAGAGAGGGAGAATGGAAGCAACTATTCGGACCACGTGGTTCCTGCGCAGATGGGAGTGACTAATACCGCCCTGTACCACCCCTTTTACCACCTCTTGTACCACCCCTTGTACCACCCCTTTTACCACCCCTTCACCAGTATAGAATGATAAGGGTGAGGCTCGACCTTCCTATCTGACCAAGGTCAAGCTTTGTTTGTTCACTTCTCTTATACTCGAATATATCTCAAACATTGTGATATATTAGTTGTTTATCTCATCTAAAAATATAATTATTAATAAATGTGTCACAGGGAAGTTGGACAGGTTACAAATTTTTTATAATGATTATTTCAATGTTATTGAATATTTCGTTCGTTCATTAGGATTTCTTCAGCAACTCGATCGTTAATGTTCAAAATCTTTTACATATATAATATATTCTTATATTTTACAAAAATAAAATAATTTAACATTTACAAATCGTTATAATAATGGATCGTTTATTTGGAAAGTGGTGTGAGACCATTTTCTGTTGTTTTGAGAAAATTAAAGGTTTGCTTATATTGGTTAATTTAAAAATATTCATTAATAATATCAAGTTTGACAATGTTTCTATTAATTTATCGATATGTAATTTGATTATATACATTACTTTTAGGCTAATTTAACTAAAATAATGTATATTTACAGTCTACAAATGGACTTACATTACTTTCAAAATTAGCCAATTGTTAAAAACGTTTAATTTCAGTTTTAAAAAATCAAATATCACTTCAAATATATTTCATATTAATCCAATTTTGTTTACAAATGATAACAAGGAATAAAGTAGAAATAGTATTTTTTATTTTGAACGTTAATTATATTGATAAATTTAACATTATTAATAGTATTTATTTAGGCTCTTCTTGTGGCAGTGTTTTTAAATATTTATGATGCACAGGAGGTATATGGTGTAATAATTGCTTGTTATTCTTACATTTTTCGTAAAAAATAGGCATAGCATCGTGATACAAATGCACCAGGCGATTTTTTCAAATTTTCACTGGTCTTACCGGACATGTAGGTGATCAATTTTAAATCTTAAATTCTGTGTCTTTCATCTCAACATTTTATATAAAATAATATATGCTGCACTTTTTCGAAACCTTATCAAACATATTTGCAACAAATTTACCTTTTTTCTTATTATTGTTTCTTGTTATCTGTTTTTTGATTGCGTTCTGTAGGTTCTTCGTTCAAACGAAATTCTCTCGTTTCATTTCATGTAAAATGAATTTATTATGTTGTTTACACTGTTTTATAATATCATAATATTCCTGTGGTGTATACAGGAAATTCTTTTTTATATTATTTTTTTCTTTATTTTCTATAGAAATTGGACTTGCACCACTTTCATAATTAATGGTTACGTAATTTCTTTTACCGGCTAATTTTAAATCGGATAAAAAATTGACATTTTGTAAGAAATTAAATACAAATTAGTTATACACAGAAAGTATACACTAAATTAAGTATGAATTACGTGATATATCATATTTTTTTTTTAAAATGGACTTACACCACTTTCAAAATAAACAGTCCATATAATTAATTAATTAATTAATTAGATAAAATATATATATATATATATATATATACAATAAATTAATTAGATGTTTAAATAGTATTTATTTGTTCAATAATAAAGTTGAACACAATTTTATATCTAAAGTGAGTAACATTTTCCTTGGCATGTTCTTGTCTGATTGTGAGATTAGTTAATCGAGTACAACTTGGAATTAATAAATCTTTTATAGTAGAAAATAATTTTATAAGATATACATATTTATAAAGTATGAATAAATACATATATGTATTATCCTAAAAACTGTTATATTCAAACACATAATCAAAACAATACTCAGTAGTTCAACAGTATTGTTTTGATTACGTGTTTGTATATAACAATTTTTAGGATATAACGATTTGTAAATGTTACATTATTTTATTTTGTATAATATAAGAATGTATGTCTTCGTAATAATATATAAAAGATTCGTAACATTAAAGATCGAGGTAATATTAAATATAACTATTTTTTAATATATTTTATAATATATGTATTTTACAAAAAAGTGTCATAATAAAATTTCAGTTGCTGAAAAAAATCTCGATAAAGATACGAAACGTTTCAATAAGATTGCAAATATAATCGTTCTAAATTTTTAACCTGTCCAACTTCTTTGTGACACATTTATTAATTGTGATATATATTTCTCCTGTTAGAATAAATGTTTTCATTTGATTGGACGACGTAGTTGTATAGGTAGGTATATGTATATCTTTAAGAAATCGTTCGTCGGCTTTAAAGTTTGAGCTTTAACACGAACAGTGGAACGAGAATCGACAAGAGGAAGTCCCTAAAGTTTTACTTCTTTGATTCCTAACTTGCATTTCGTGTGTGTGCATGTGTGTATGTGTGTGTGTATGGGACATTGATACACGCGTCTTAACAATTCGATAGAATGAAAAGTGAGAGATTTCTATATACGAGTTTCATATTTTTATTACTATTCTCGTACCCCGTTATATATTTTTTTCCTTTTTTTTTTTTTTACTCGATTTTATATTATTGTGATAATAAAAAGAACGAACGAAAGAACGTACGTACGTACGTTTGTTTTCTTTTTTTATCTCCAAAAATAAATATAACCTAAGAATTTTTATACTTTTTTTATATACTCTATGCTTTTATCAATTTTACAAAATAATATTCGTTCGATAATTATGTTTATTTAATTAATAGATATTTTTTTGAAAAATGTGATGTAAGTTCGTTTTTCTTTTTTTTTTGTAATGAAATATCACATAATTTGTGATTAATTTAGTGTAAACTTTTTATTTCTAACTGATCGATATTTAATATTTTTAAAAAATATCAATGGTTTTTTGTTCAAATCAAAAATGGTTGATAAAAGAAATTGCTTAATGATTGATTAGGAGAGTGATATTTAGTCCAATTTTCACAGACTCACGTGGTTAAAAATATTTCATTTTTACTTAGAAAAAATGTCAGAGAAACAACAGAAATTCAGTTAACGAATGGACATAAAAGAAAATCTTTAAACGAAATTTTACATTATATAATTAACGTTCAAAAAATAAAAAATATTATTTATATTATATTTCTCGTTATTGTTTATAAACAAGATTGGATTAATATCGCATAATATATTTTAGGTGATATACAATTTTTCATAATTTAAATTAAATGATATTTATGCAAATAGTAAAAGTATATTACTTTAGTTATTTACATAATGAAATTACATATTGATAAGTTAAAACTTGTCATACTTGATGTAATTAATTGATATTTTTAAATTAACTAATAGACTAACTTTTAATTTTCTCGAAACAACAGAAAAAGTGATTTGGCCTACTTTCAAAATAAACTATCCGTATTATAATAAATATTATATTTATTTCAATATATTTGTATAATCAATTTAACGAAGTTTAGATGTTTTGTGTTTTGAATATTAATAAAAAGAAAAATGTATGTCTACTCAATGAAAAAAGACGCTGAACTGTAAAGATTAAGGTAACATGTAAAAAAATTATATATTGTATGAGCCTCATGTATGTCGTAATATAAGAAATAATAATAAAATAAAATTTCTAGTTGCTGAAGAAGTCCCAATAAAGGGACGAAACGTCCAACTAAATCAAACTAAGTTCTACTTCTTTCATGTCCAAGTTCCCTGTTAAATTTCATCATTAAAAATTGTAATTTTTGGACGAGAGAAATACTAAATAAATTAATATTTAATTTCTTTTATGTGTAAATATTACATATATACTAATATGTAAATTCTCTGAGGAAAATATCGATATAAAACGTATAAGTGTATCAAATATTCGACGTATATTTGGAAGAACCTTCGCAAACAAAGAACAAATCTTTAAGGTAGTCATACGAAAGATACATATGTTTTATGAAAAAAGTTTTACGATATCCAACAGTTATCTTGACAGTAAACCTCACGTTCGTACGTGATATAAAACCATTTTTAAATATCTTCAAAGTTATTTCATTAATTTTTCAACTTGAACAAAATGAAAGAAAGAACAAATTCCTACGAAAATATTTTCTTAACAGATATATTCATTATATATATATATAAATGTCTAACAAAAAATATACCATAATATTATATAGAAAATATTTGAATGTACAATAAATCGCAATTAGTATTTCGAGAACCTGTTTCAATAATAAATTATAAATAATTGTATATTTGCTTGTAACGCGAAGTTTCAAAAATTCCATTATTAACATAAATTTATTTTAACAATTATTAAACATTTTTTAATTGATGATATATTCATTTTGATCGTTAAAGAATTATTTTATCGCTGCAGAAAAATATAATTTAAAATTAAAGTAATACGAAAGTATACGTTTTACAAGAATAATTACATCTATCCGATATATAAATATAATAAGATGTAAAAATGTGAGTAAAACATAGAAGTAAAGTAATGATAAGACATT